GCCATGTTTGCCCTAAAAAGTTTGTGAGACATTTTGGATAATGTCGTAATATTTAGTTGTAAGTCACTCAAAAGGTGCGACAAATTTTGTTTTGTTAATACGGATTTCTTCTCGGGTATCGTAAGTTTGCTTTTTAAACTCGGCCTCTGATGTATCGATCCTCCCAATAATTGAAACTTAGTGTGGCGGATCCAGACCTTTGTTTGTTTTGGGGTGGCGGAAAATTTTTAACGATACTATTCTCCCATTCTTTCTTGTTCAAGGGGTTCCACTCAGGGGGGTCCACTCATGTCCAATTGCCTCCGAGAAGGGGGGGGAGGGAGGGGGGTCCCCCCCCCCCCTGGATCCGCCACTGTTGTGAAACCTGCAGTTGATACTCACCCATTCGGAGCATGGCTTTATGATCCGCATAGAACCCTATTACCGTTTCCTTCCTGTCCAGTGTGATTAAAAATACTTGTTCAAGATAGTAAACAAACAAAAAAATTAAATAAAAATACACAGGGACAACAAGTAGACATAAAACACTGGCGCCAGTGTTTACCACCACTTATTGTCCACGTGTTTTTTGCGGCGCTTGTCTACGATCATGGATCAGTTGGCCCAAATTGCCATGTTAATTCTGCGAGATGCCTATAAGTCTTAGCTTCTCTATGTTCAAATTTGGTAAACTTCATAAGCGATAACATCTGCTCGCTTATCTTTGGTAGACCTTTTCAAAAGCCGAAATAAAAGAGTGCAATGCAGCAGCAAAAACAGTGAGCGATTGATTCTCGCAGACTCGGGGGCAAAATATACTTTTGCATTATGGTGCCCCTGACAATGTTATTAGTGCCACTCATTAAACTATCAAGGTAGTGTGTAAATTAAGTGCCTGGGTGAGCAAAAATGTAGGAATTGTGATTGTGACCTGCATTTAGGGCTGGTTCACACATACAGTGCAGCGCTAACTCAGTCCTGTTAAGGCAACGAGTCACTGCTACTTCCATGGCTTGTATCGTGTGTTCTGAGGGTCCTCCTTTCCTAAAGGACTGATGTCCCGGTTTGTAATACTGATTCAGCGCTGAGGTAGTGCTGCGCTGTGAACAGGATGCCTTGCGCGGACATTGAAGTTTAGATAAGCAGATCAACGTGTAACTGTGCATCTTTTTTCTTTATAGGTTACCAGTACAAGGTCTCCCATGGACATGAAGGCAGTACAAGGTCTCCCATGGACACAATGGCAGTACAAGGTCCCCCATGGACACGAAAGCAGTGTACCGTATACTCGAATTTTGCATTTTTAATAAACCAGTTATTACTCCTTCACACGGTTTTATGCAGGCATTTTTCGAACACTGCATGCGTATATAGGCATACATAAAAGTGACACTTGCACTCACTTTCCCCTTCCCTCAAAACAACCGTTAGATCCGGACCACATGTTATGCAACCTATTGCCGTCTTTCCCCTTAGAGCCGTCTATCTAGAAACCCACGCTAGGAGTATAATTTCTAATACATTTCATTTGAAAGTCTAGATACACTGCTTTGAGTCTCTGTTGAAAATCAAATGTTAATTTCTACTGCGTTGCAATTCAGGTTTTGATGGGCCATCTCATTTGGTATATTCGGACTCGTCGGAATATACCTAACGAGATGGCACGTCAAAACCTCAAGTACAACGTGGTAGAAAAAAACATTTGATTTTCAACAGAGACTCAAAGCAGTGTATCTAGACTTTCAAATGAGATCTATTAGAAATTCTTATGAGGTGGCACGGCAAAACCGTAATTGAAACGCGGTGGCCAATAGTTTTCGTAAACTCCTTAGGGACTCGTTACAAAAAATCAATTGTTTTTCAACACAGACTCGAAACGGTGTCAATAGACTTTCAAATTATATTCATATGAAATACATTGGAAACTTTATGCGGTAGCTTTGTCGAAACATCAATTGGAACGCGGTGGCCAATAGTTTTCGTAAACTCCTTACGGACTCGTTACAAAACTCGTTTGCATTTCTATTGAGACTCGAAAAGATGTAATGAGTAGACTCCATAAACTGTCAAATGAAATTCATTAAAATTTTTTGTAAGGGCACATGGCCTAAGATTGGATCAATTTTGGTTTTCAGTTGTTAAGCTTTTATACCCATGTCTTACATGCTTGAAATAAGGAAGAATTCTTCTATCAAAGTGTGCTATAAAAAAAATTTGAATTTTGGGTACATTTTTTCGAAAACTGGCTGGCGCTTAAAGGGTTAAGCAAAAAAAGGAAAAATTAACAGATGAATATCTCAAAGCCTGTTGCTTTTTCGGGAACCGTGTCAATTGGGTTGGCTTTTATTAATGGCCACCTTTAAAACTACAATAGACCCTTTCCGGAATTCAGTCTGGCCACTTTGATCACTATCATCATCATCTGAAAACGCCATATGTGCTACACTAATGGCGGACTTCTGTTTACTGATGAAGGAAGTTGAAGATGCTCCTGAGCATCTTCATCTTCAGACCCTCAGGGCTAGGGTGACCAGACGTCCCGTTTTGGCCGGGACAGTCCCGTTTTTCAGGTCCATTTCTGCCGTCCCGTCTTTTTATCCCAATATAGAATCATGTCCCGTTTTCGCAGAAGTACATAGTTTCAAAATTGGCACCAAGCGAGTAGAAGCAAACTGCAACTATGCCTATTCGTTGCAAGTATATTTTACAAAACTAACCGTAGGTACTTTACAATATTTACCCAGAGAGTAAAATTTAGGACTGTTCTTGCCCACAAACACTTTTTCTTTCGCGAGGACGGTAGAAATATTTTTTTTTTAGTTACTGGATATAGCACGGATGTAGAATCATGTAGGAATAGCACGCATGTAGAATTTAATTACATTTTTTCTCAAACTTTAGTACCCCCCCCCCCCCCCCCCCCCCCCCCCCCCTTTACCGCTGGGATGTCTCGTTTTCTACCTTGAGGAATATGGTCACCCTACTCAGGGCCTGAGGACATTGCAGAGGGGAGTGTGTTACAAGGAGACATCAAAAGCAAACAAACAACAATCAAAAGCAAACAAACGACAATCTTAAGAATGAAAAAAATACATAATAATGAAATGCTAAAAGTTAACACTGTTAAGGCATCGTTTAGAAGCGATGGAATCGGATATGGATGCCACAGATGCTGGAAGGTGATTCCATAAGACCGTCGTCTGAGGTTCAGTCAAGGGCTAGACCGCCATGCTTCCAATTAGTAAATAGATATGCTTAAGGAGATGAGTGAAGCGTGTTTCCTGCAATCCTCTGAGACAAAACTTGGTACTTGATCTCCAAACAGGAAAGCTCCACATGCTTCATTTGTAAAAGCCCATTATGTTTATAACTATGGTTTAGCCGTGCAGTACGATGCTTGGGGCCACTGCTTGCTCACTTGAAGTTCGAGAAAGGGCGGCACCGGAAGCACTACCAGTTGCCCTCAGGCTTATGATGTGGCTTGCAAGTAGCTCTTTTGTATTACTTCATGAAGTGAGTTGCGTTCAATGTGACTCGTTCTTCCTTTATCATGTGCCTTGTATGTGATTTGGCAATACCCCCCCAGGTGAAAAAAAGTAAATGTGTTTAGTAAACATGATAAGCTGAGAATCATGATAAGAATATCCAATACTTTATATGATTTTCGTACAATTTAGAATTTCTGATATGTGTATTGGACACATGCCTATAAAATTTTTACTAGGGCCTATGCTTCATTTCAGCTTTCGTCCGAGTGCGGCAGACGCTACCGGCCAATCCAGCATCGGCAGAGTGTCATGTGAGCTTGAACTCCACATAACCAAAACGTTGCATGATACTCTCCCGGCACTGGATTGGCTGGGGTGGCCCAGCATCCACTGGGCCACCCCAGGGGGCGCCCATTTTACGGCAAGCACCCTCTACCAGGGGTGTTTGGCGAGCACCCATTATAAAGGGTGTTTGCCTGAACACCCTAAGGGTGTTAGCCCTGGGACAAACTGATGTACACCCTTAAGGGTGTAAAAACTTTTAGTGTGTATAATCGGCTCCAGATCACGTGGCCGCTTGTTCTGGCTGCGAGTTGAGGGGGTGAACGCTGCTTGTTTTTCTTAATTTTTTTTCTGGGACTTCTATTGCATGGGGTGAAAAACGAACGAGTGTTTCATAGGTCTTTAACGTTAGGGATCCGTTTTATGTGGTATGTGTGTACAGTACAAAACTTGTTGCATCGCTCCTTTAAAGGAGCTGTGCAACAATTTTTGTACTTTGCGCAAATACCGCTTAGAACAGATCCCTGACGTTAATGACCTATGAAACAGGCGTTCGTTTTTCACTTCACGCAATAGAAGTCCCAGAAAAAAATTAAAGAAAAACTAGCAGCGTTCACCCCCTCAACTCGCAGCCAGACCAGGCGGCCACGCAATCTAAAGCCGATTATATGCCGCCAATGTTGATCATAGCCGCGCGCTGGGGTTGGCAAAGCACAGGACACGCGCTGAGTTCCAGACATTGTTATGACTCGGCTATTGTCGTCGTTGCAGCGATTGGACGCGGGCGACTACCCGAATGCTTCTCGAGCTAGTAATTATCACCAGCCCAAATCGAGTGCCCACGCAGGGCTCGGGTCCAATCTATGAATTGCTTTCAAATATCGTCACTTGGGTGTTCTGCGATCCCCACGTTACGTCATCAAATTTCGCAAAGGAGAGATTGAACGAAAATAATTGCTTTTGTCCTTGAAATTTCACCGCAACAAAGGAGTTTCTTGGCCAGTGGCGTTGCGTGCGAGTATCCTTGGGTCCCACTAGTGCCATTAAGCTCGTGTATAGTGAAAAACATTCCAACTGAATATTGTTGCACAGCGCCATTAATTACACAGGTCCTTCATAATATATATTGTTTTGCTGATTTAGAAAAGAAAATCAAAGTTTATTGCGCGCGTGCGCACATACACACAAACACACACACACACAGAATATCGGTTATCAGAACGCCATCCTTTGTCTACATCTGGTACTCCAATGTGCTGTGTAACTGCAAAAGGCCGTCATTTGCAATGGCAAGCCTGCATGATGGTTTGTTCAAAAAATTGAAATGTGAATTTTGAAATTTCGTTTTGATTTAGCGTGTACATTTGACGCCTCTGCTCGAAAACTTAGGTGTAGGTTTATAGACATTTACATTTGTTAGTGTAATTGCACACAATGTAACGTTTCCGTCGTAACATCTTTTTAGGTTCAATCTAAGTGAATCAAACATTCGCGACAATGAAGACGATGCTGTTGGTGAGTTCAACATGTTTCTATCTCATTATTAAAACAACAGATTTCAGCAATAGTCAGTATTGTCCACTGATGTCTATTGTAGGCTGGCTCGTGGATCGGGAGCCCATTGGTGGCACCACCGGCGGCCATTGCTTGACACCCGGCAATACACGCGAGTCTATGAAAGAAACGCAGAAAAGTAGAAATATTGAAGCCTGTAGGCGAGTATTTTGTAATGTGGTGCGATCATTGCTTGACATTGCTTGACTCGGGCGTTTGGAGGTCGAATCGGTATTTGTCAAACGTTCGAACGTCAATTAAAAATGAAAGCCGTTTACAACTCCCTGTAACGCCGAATTAGAGCGCAGCGCTTAAGGAGAAGGAGGAGAGGGTACTGAGGTTGACTTGTTCTCGGGGGGAGGGGGGGGGGGGGGTCAAAGTGACCTCGGGGGGGGGGGGGGGGGTGGTCACGGGACCTTGGTGGGGTCACATGACCCCCTCCCCAAGGTCACGTGGGGGTCACATGACCTGGGGGGGTCACGTGACACCCCAGAGAAAATTTTCCGCTAGATTTAGCGGGGAAATTTTTCCGCCATTTAGCGGGGAATATTTTCCGCCAAATTTAGCGGGGAAATTTTTCCGCTAGGTTTAGCGGGTAAAATTTTCCGCTAGATTTAGCGGGTAAAATTTTCCGCTAGATTTAGCGGGGAAATTTTTTCCGCTAAATTTAGCGGGGAAATTTTCCCGGTAGATCTAGCGGGGAAATTTTTCCACTAGATTTAGCGGGGAAATTTACCCATAATGCACCATGCGGTTACGCCGACGGTGACGGCGACGGCGACGCCGCTCAAGCCGGAAACGGGCACCTAAAAGCTGCGCTCTAAAAAAAGAAAAAAAAAAAAAATTTACCCTATCACCACCAACTGTGCACGCTTCGCTTGCTTCAGTTGCTAAATAAATTAGACATTCAACAAATCAACGACACGTTCCGAGTTTAGTGCGTTAGAGAAGACCTCACTGCAGTTCAAAGAAAAGCTTGAACCGGAAGTAATCTGTACAGGCTCTTGAAGCGATGCGAATGCCCCCACTGAAGGCCTTCAAAATTATCATCTGCTAAGCTCCGATGTCATCGAGATAATGAACGACATCACATTGACTCTCGGCAACTCTTGTCTCATTGAGCCACATCACAGTTTACGCCCAACAAACTCGCAACCCTCGACCCTCAACCACGAGTTAAAAAACGAAAGGTACTCCAGCGTTTTCAATATTTTTGCCTGTTGTGTCCTACTGTGTTTATCTTTCACCTTTTCTTCATTGAGTTGTTCGATCTATCGCGTTCAGGCTCCGAAAGCGTTTACTGTCCTTAGGGAAGGAGGGGAGGGGATCGGACCGGTAGCTTACGAGCTTGGGTCAAGGCCGGGGAAGGGGGTTTTGGGGACTTATAGATAGATAGGCTGTCAGCCCCGCCTTGTGGATAAAATCCAAAAGAGAGGTCATTACAACTCGACATTTATCGGGAGGACCCTCAGGATGAGTCCATTCCTCTAGGCTGGTGACGTCTGGTGGTACGTGTTTCCGTCTGATCTCTTCCAACTCTGGGCAAGCCCAAAGGACAGGCACGTATCCAGGGGGGTGGCCCATGGGGCCCGCCCCCCCCCCCCCCCCCTCCCCGAAATCTTCCGTTTTGCTGGGACCTCCTCTCCCTCCTCCCCCTCATACAGCATTTTGTCATGGGCGCCCCCCCAACACCACCTAGAGGAGAAGGCCAGCACACGCCTCCGGGGACGTCACGGCAGCAGGCTGACGAGCGCCGCGCTATAGAGCTGAGCTGAAGGCTTCGCGCGTAGCTTTTACGTCGTAGAAACGCGGGTTTTCGCTCTATTTATTTTTTATGAGCTAGCATGAGAGCTGTGAACGCCGAGTGATATAAAGAACCAATTTTAGAACGCAGGAAAATTCTTATAATCTACAATTATTGTAGTGAAATACAAGAAAGTGATATCTTGAGACAGATGTGTTATTTTTTTTAAGCGATAAACTTGGTGGTGTAATTATCTCTGAACGACATGGGACTTGTGTAATAAAAAATAATCCCTATGAAATGACAATAATCGAAGTAGTAGGACCAGATAAAATGAACTAAAGTAACAATTGGAAAAATAATGCAGATGCATTCATTTCATTTATTCACCTCAAAGGCATCCAAAGACGCATTACATCAGGGGAAATTAAAAAAAAAAAAGACAAAATAGTAATTGAACATAAAAAAGACACCAACAAAAAGAAAATGTCACACACACACACAAAACCGCTTTTTAGCATGTTATTGTTATGATGCAGTTTTACAAATCAAAGTTCAGTTACACAAATTGATGCACTTTTTCAATGAAATGGGATATCTCTCAGTTACAATATGGTCAGGTAGTTTGTTCTAGTCAGTGTTGCAAAGTACTAAGGAAGAGGAAAGTGTAACTATGGCACTGAAATGGTTCAATCTTGAAGGCATTATCTAATATGAATGATATGAAATGGGCAGCCCAGCACTAAGTAGATTGAAAATTGGAATCTGAGTAATATACATCTTAAAAAAAAAACACAATCAGACTATTTTTTGTCTTCTTTCTGGATTAGGAAGATTTATGCTAGCTTTTAAAGCGGAGACACTAGTTTCTGATGAATAATCACAACATATAAATCTGACTGCTTTGTTCTGAAGATTCGAGCCTCTAGATTACAGGTAACTTAGGAGTGGATTCCAAATTATGCTCGCATATTCTAAAGGTGGGAGGATAAATGTTTTGTATGCGAGTAGTTTTGCTTTAATAAGAGCTAGATCCCTACTGAAAAATCTTATTTGTATGAGAAACTTCTGTGTCCAATAAACACATATGAATCATACAAGATATATAAGAACATATAAGTGCCCTATAAGAACTAGATTAGAATATAAGAAATTTGTAAGAAGTTTCTTATATATCTTATATGGTTATTATATATCTTGCATGATTCATGCGTTTATTGAACACAAGAATTTTCTTGTACAAATGGCTTTTTTCACAAATTAAGTGTTTTTAGTGCACTATTTGTTATTTGCTTAATCCATGATAATGAGTCTGTAAAATACACGCCCAAATACTTGTACGACAGTGAGTGTTCTAGTGGTTCGGAAAGTAACAAGTACTGGGTTAGAGTTTTAGTGGAGGACTTAATTATGGACATTTCTTTGCATTTATATCTGTTAATGTTCATCTGCCACAGGGAACACCATGGTGATATTGTATCTAAATCGTCTTGGACAATATTGTGATTAATAGAGGAGTAACTCAAGCATTAGCAAAACGTCTAATTGTTGATTTAATTGATAATGGTAGGTCATTGATATATATTAGAAACAATAGAGGCCCGAGTACACTACCCTTAGGGACATCTGATGCAACAGCAACGGGACCCAAATTGCCAGACAAGTATAAAAGTAATAACATTCTAAAATTGTGATGTGCTGGTTTGAAAAATGTATTGTACATAGTTTGAAAAATGTATTGCACATAGTTTGAAAAATGTATTGCACATAGTTTGAAAAATGTATTGCACATATTTTGGCAAACTTTTCTTAGACCTGTGATCAACCTGCATAGGTTTAGCAATTCAAAGCACTCTGCCTGTTCAAATATAGTACTTGTTTTGCAGCAAGCAACCTATCTGGTTACTACATCGAAAAACACCTGACCCATTTCTTGGCAATGTCATAATATGAAAACTTCATATTTGCAAAAAAAGTACCGTAATACTCGAGCGTTGCCCCATATGCAGATGTACTTCGACAGTACCGAGTCTGTGAAACGACACAGTTAGGGAGGCTAAAAACAAGTTTTGCACACAAACAGAAGTGGGCATGGGAGCTTGATATTCAAAGTTGCTTGCATTTACAATGCAGAAGAGTCATAAAGAAGAAATTGGTCACCTTTGAACACTGCGAAACGAGCCTCCTGGTATTCATAAGTTCTGAAAATATCCGTCTTCAAAAACCTTTACACACATACATCTTAGATGCTGTAGATTATGTGACACCGAGACACACAATATCTGTGCAGCATGTTGGCATTTCCGTTGTAGCACCACAAGATACCCAACAGACTGCTACAAGGACACCGATTATCTGCACACACACACACACACACAGATCCACCGACTTAAGAGAGCAGTTGCCTTTGCATGAGGATGAAGCGCAGGCATGTTGCTGGCCGGACACGAACTAATTTGTTTAGCCTTGACCCCTTAGCTTTTTTTTTAGATGCTGCACTGGCACTTATAATATTGTTGCCATCTTGCAACAAAGGTTTCTCAGTTGAATGTTTTCACTGCAGTCCAACACATACTTCAGCTCGAACTCACGATGGGTTCATCATCACAGGCGTCAGACATACTCTTCCTTGGTCCGAGTTCGCTTCTTGACATTCATGACGGTTGGCAGCGAGTGTCTTTGATCGAGTTTCAGCTTTTCATTTCTTCTGTTCGGCATTCTTGGCATTAATGCAAACATTCATTTCGCTACAGCATTTACACCAGCTTTGTCTTCCTGTGCGAGCGAACTGTAGCCAACTTGTTTCGTGCTGTCGACGCGGCCTTGCATTTTTAGCCCCTTAGGTTTTTTAAGGTGGTGTAGACTGCACAGCTGGCCACATAGCCCAAAGCCGGGAGGCTGTGCCTTATTGTTTTACAGCCCAGGGCCACATTGCAGGTATACCACGTTGCAGGTAGGGCGTCAAGTATCCGCTCGCTTGGGAAGATCTTTCTAGTTTCCATTGCTAGCTGTAATGACCGTTGACATTGTGCTCCACAGCAGTATTCTGTTTTCATCTTCGCAAATGTGCCTTGTAGACACGTGATATTAGAAGCAAGCCAGTTGCCTATACATTCCGAAGTACTCTTCTAAGGTGTCAGTTTTCAGCTTGTCCCATGGAGGCTGTACAGCAGCCAGAGTTCATCAAAGCAGTATCCGGGATGTGTGACTGCTTCTG